TTCAGATGCTTGGCAACTGATTCATATTTATGACGGTCACGGTGTCCCAGGGTCATGTGAAGTGACCAAAACCTGCTGCAACCACCCAGCAGATGGGGAAAATAAAAACCAAACACCCTCCCCACCCCACCCCCACTGCCAATCCTCAACAGAAATGCTCACAACAATGAAAACCTCAGACAGGAGGAAGAGCACCGCTGGGTGGCCAGGCAGGTGTCTTGCTCAACTGTGGCTTGGGGGGCACTTTTTTCAGTGTCATTGTAACTTCGAACAGTCACTAAGCGAACTGTTGTAAGTTGAGGACTACCTGTACTTCATCACCTTTTTCCTTTTGGGGGGGGGGGTCATCAAGTTTTTGCACCTTGCTAGGCAACTGGTGGTACTCAGATGTTGCCATATCCTAAAAGTGGTACAATGGGTGAAAAGGTTGAAAAGCTCTGAAATAGAGCACATAAACCTGCACAGGATCCTTTGATCCTAAATGACAGCAATGACATTGATCTTCACACATTACTTTGCAGACCAATGGAATGAGTCCTGTAGTCCAAAGGTGGAGCGAGCAATCAATTTCATGTGTTTATAATATCCAAACTTGCATATGTATTCCTGGAACAAAGAGTAAGCCTTCTATTGCACTTAATTTACTATGATATTGTTTATTAAGTATTTTTTGGTCTTAAAAAAGAAAAATGTGCTTATGTAAATTATCAACAAAACTCTTCCAAAAATTCTGTCTAGAGAGCTTCTTATGAAATGAGTTACTATTACTATTAGAGTATTGTATGAGAGTTGAAGGAATTCCATATTCAACCCTTTTGATTCCTACTACTGGACAGAAATTACAGAGGAAATGTTCTGTTTTCTCACTTTCTGGAGGCATCCCATGACCCCGGCTGGAAGATGATGGCTCCTTGAGGGTAAATAGCAGGAAAGATGATAAATGTACATAAAATTACACATTGAATAAAGAAAATGGAAAACCCCCCCCCCCTCTCTCTTAATACTAGAATTGGAACATTTAATGAACTTGAATGGCAGGTCAAACAAAACTAGGATTTCACCACAAAACACATATGTTGACTTGGAATTCCTTTAATTAACATATAATAATGGCTACCAGCTTGGATGTCCTTAACAGCAAACTAGACAAGTACCAAGGCTATAAACTAATTGAGGGTAATATACTAGGATTGAAGAGCCCCAGGCAATTGTTCTTCAGCCCCTCTACATGTCCCTCCAATCACTGTTAACTCTCCATAGATAGAAGGAAAAAGAAACATGGGCATCAGATTCAAACTCCAGAGCTTTTAGCCAATGTTAAAATTCTGGGAACAGCTATATGGTTTTTCTAAGAACATAAGCAGGGAATCTTTAAATAACAACTTCTAGAAGAAAAGGTGATCGCTCTCATTCTTGGGTGATTCCTATCTAATTGGCCACTTTGGTAAATGGGCCATTGCCTGATCCAGTGTTCTTTGGATTACACTTATAGTTTGGTTTGCATACACCATCCATTCAGATAGCATAAAAATACAGTCTCCTTTGTTCCAAACATATCTAACTTCCCTAAAGTTTTTCTATCACTTGGTTTCCTACTGTGCTTTTTTGCATTATTCTAACATGATCAGAACAGATGAACTGAGAGGGCTTTGTAAATGGTAGGACTCAGGTTTGTAATCAGGTTTATCTTATTATCCCAGTGCTGTAAATATCACTCAATTATTTAGTGCTATACAGATGTCATACCTGTTGTTCTTCCCTAATATCTTATGGGTGGAGATTTATTTTGTTGGTGGAAGTACCCTAAAAAGGCCGCATTTAACTATTCTTTTCCGAATTCCAGGCTTTTAAACAAAATGTAGCACTCTGCATTCTTTTTCAGTGAAAACAGACATTTTAATATGAATTTCAACACTTACAAAAGTATCTTCTACAATTAGGTCAACTACTAGTTTCCCCAAAGGCTATTTTGTTCTGAGAAATAGTTGTGGAAGACTGGACCAAGATACTGCTATTTCAAAAGCAGGTTGCTGACAAGTTCAATAGCAAATTATTGATTGGATTGGCAATGAATGTGAAAAGAATAATTATTATTAACCAGGATGCTTGACTATCATTGCTTGGGTATATCTGTATCTGGAGAAATTACATCACATTGTTAAGTTCCTATGTAGCTAAAAGTCATTTCCCCAGTGTTTAAATATGGATACTATTCTCTAATTTATCATTTCTATCCTTTTGCCTTGCAGAAGTATTGGACTGTAACTCCCAGAAATTGTATCAGCATGTTGGCTGAAAATTCTGGAAGATGTAATCCTAACATATTTGCAGGATGTTGTATTCAGAAGGCTGCTCTATTGTAAGCATGACTGCAAATTAAGTTACTCCATACTCATCACACAGACTTTTGCCCAGAAAAAATATGCTTCTGAAGGGTGTAAAGGGCAAAGCGCTTTCCTTTTATTTCATCGCATCTAAAAAATGTGAATTGTCAGACCATATATAAGGATCAGCATAGCTACAGAGCTATGGTCCCAGACTGTTTTTCTTCTATGCTGTCAGTGGCAGTGCTGTGGCATTCATGCAAAAAAAAAAGGGAAGCTGAAAACTTTTTATTCTGTGTGTAAAATGCTGTAATGGAGCAGTGACGAGGACCACTGCAGAAATGTCACCATTAACAGATTTGGCTTATGACTGCTGATTATCTCAATTTTTGTATTTTGAGAAAGATGGAGTGACCCTAGGTCAGAAAAGTTTAATTTAATTATCCACTACACCTGATTGTTTCTGAGCAATTGTGTCATAATTACACAAATTGTGCTAACTTGCTGAGTGGCTCAACAACTTATTTATTTTACAGAAAAAAAGTGTTATTCTTTTCCTCTTCAACCTTCTGACAATCAGTTTTGCAACATTCAGAAAAGGATAATTTACAAGCAATCCTTTCCTCTGCATGAAACCCTCTCTGCCTATTTGCCTAGAAGTTGAGAGTCTCTGAACTGCAAATTTTAAAGCTTCCTTGCTCAATCAAAGTCCAGTTTTTAAAGGAACATATTCCAGAAACATGAACATGGTAGATCAAGCTATGCAGCAATTTCAGCCACAAGCTGGATCGTTCTCAGAGCCTGGATAATAGTTTTTTAAAATCAGGAGATTCGTACAAATCCTCACTATGTATAGAAAACAGGTTGAAAGTTGCATTCCTAATTGTTGCAGAGTAATATATACGATTATACACAAACCCAGAACTAGTGATGCCTTCTCCATTTTACACTCATACTCTTGGTTTTATGAGAAGATTTTGCTAATTATGAATATAAAAATGAATATTGACATTTTTATTTATGGTTCTATAAGAATTATTAGAATAATAAGGGAGAATAATCTGCTTTTAGCAATATATGAGCACACATTTCTAAACATCTACAAGTGAATAAATGTTCATTCAACTCTCTGCTCTTTGCTGACAATACCCTTATCTCCTGCTTTTCAAATGTCTTTTTTTTTCAATCCAGGCATCTTCTCTCCAAAGATATCTTTGTCAAAATAACATTCAAGCAAATTGGCACAGTATTTAAATTATTGACTTTAATACAGCAAGTACCATTTCTAGCTGGTCCCAAAAAGGTAATACCCACAACTATGAATTTACACAAAATGCCACACACAAAAGAGCAGGAACTATCTGGAGGCACAACTCCAGCCTCAAATAGAGAACTGTACATCATACCTAGTTCTGCTACCATCTTCCACACTAGAGAGCTGAACATTCATTTCAGGATACTTAAAATAAACCAACCTTTTTTTGTTGTTGCAGGCACTTGGATTATTGTAAATCTTGGAGCAAGCTAATAGGATAAGAGTATATTAGTATTTGATTTTTTTTTTTAATGAAGCTATGGAGTACAAAGTTCAGTCATGGTTCTCAAAGAGGTTTATTTTCTGAGTCTTTAAAGTGGCTTGCCAGGAATGGGTCTCTCGTCACATCTAAACTTAAGTGCTCAGAATGCTGTCTCCCTAGAGACAAAATCCAAGGTGATCCTGAAAACACCAAATCCAGAAAAAAAAAATCAGCTATGGCCAGACTGTCTCAATCCAGTTTTTTCCACATTGTGTTGGGATTATAATTTCCTTGAAATCTCAGCCGGCATGATGATCTCCCAAGACATCCAGAGGAACCAAGAAGAATGCTTTAGGAACATAGCTGTAATCTGTGACATCAGTGATAAAGCACTGCTCTGTACAATTTGGACAGGGTAACCCCCTTCAGCGGGAACATTATTCCCAGAGCTGGGTGGCAATGGGTGATGTAGTCCTATTTCATTTAGGCACTCAAGATTAGAAAAGGGCAGTGAGGAATTGGCTGTTGTTACTAACATCAAATAAGAAAACAGGAAAAGGAGAGAGCTAACTTTTCATGAAGTTGATCTGTGGTCTACAACAGATTTCTGAGAACGCTAAGAAAGATGTAACCTCTACTTGGAACTGGAGGCAAGACAAGAGCACATACCTCTCCAGATAAACGAACGGGAATTGTTCCCACTCTCTTTCCTCCTTCCATAGTCACACCCTCCCTCTAACTTAGCTAAGAATATGGGTCTGTGAATACTGTTCCTGTTCGTTTGACTATTTTATGCCCATTACAGATTTTCAGCACAAGAATTGCATTTCATATCGTTTTAATCAGAGAGAAATGTGGCACAAGAAGTACTACTGATAATATAATCCACCAACAGAAGTCTCAAACATTATCTCATTACCAGTCATGGTCACTTCAAAGACTCTACCTCAACAACCTCCCTGTTCTGCACATAATACCTCTTCCCCTTGTTAGGTTATTTTGCCCTTGATATCTCTTTGATGTTAAAGACCCCCCCCCCCCATCCAATCTAATACAAGGTAGCAAGAATGATGAAGAGGAAAGGAAGGTGAAGTTAAAGATTGGCTTTTGCAGCCGGGAGGAGGAGGTAAAGGTTGAGGAAGGCTTCCGAGAGACTTACCAGAACATGTCCGAATCGTTCTTCCAATTCCTCAGCATTGGGCATAGGTAGTTTGGGGGGTGCAGGCTGTTTGGGGGGTAAAGGCGAAGAAGCAGTCGGTTGGCTTTTAATCTCCTTCGCTGGAGACATTTCCATGCTGCTGGCTGCATTGCCCATTCTCGGATTTTAAGATTACAAAATAAAATCAGGAAAAAAGGCTGCAAGTTGAAAATTCCCCCGACTTCCCCTTGAAGCAGAAAACAGATCAAGGGGAGGAAGAGTCTCGTACAAGAAAAATCACCCCCATAAAATAAAATAAAAAACAGGCGGGAAAAAGATGGGGGGGTGTTCCAGAAGCTCCCTACACGTGCTTAAAAAATCTTCAAAGGCAGGGAGCCGTGACGGTTGCCCATGACTTTGCTCTGGCGTTTGTAATTACCGGAAACAGGAGAAATGGCCGTGGTGGACTAGAGGCAACGTCGCCCAACGAGGTGACCGCTGAGCCCTGCTCCTTTGGGGCCACCACCAGGCAGGAGAGCGCTGCCTCGCGCTTTTCTACATTCAAGTTGATGGGTTCAATTTCCACGCGAAGGTAGCAACACAACTTTTTTCAGAAAAAGGAGGTGCATCCTCTGATCCGCTACAAGCGGCAGAGAGACAACGCGTGGTCGCTCTTGAGAAGGCGAGAAGTGACGAGCTCCTCCGCTTAACTTCCCCCTCGCCTCCACCCCCAAAAGAGGAAGGATCGAAAGCGAGAGCACAGGAAGTCACAATGCAGGTGTTTGGCTTGGAATATTCGTGCACCGAAAATAAGCTAGGGGCAACTTTTCTACACCGCTGCGCTGCAGGTCCTCTTCTATAGAGGTCGCAGGAGAAAACGTTAAATCTCTCCTTGGGTGGCTTCGTCCATTGGCACGGAAGGTTTCAGTTGGGCTGAAAAGCAGAAAGCAGCTGCAGAGGGAGCGCGCGGATTTTGCAAAGGCTGGGGTGGATAGATGGGGAAAGCAGGGGAAGCCAGCGAGAGGGACGACGCAGCTTGCCCATTCCTCCAGGCAAGATCCTTGGCCTGGAAAGGAGAAGGAGACGCCGGGGGGTGGGGGAGAGGAAGGGGACGAAATAGCAAAGTCACCTGCTAATGGAATGAGGGTCTCGGACAGCAACAGCAGCCGAGGCAAGAGACGGGAGGAGAGCTCCCTGGGTCTCAAAGCCCACGGATTCCCGTTCGGGGCGTGTTATTAGCTTATTCTTAATTCCTTTCCAAAATAGGACGAGCTTCAGAATTTTTGCCAGAACTGCAGGTTCTGAAGACCAGGCTCTTTCCCTAAGTCGGCGCCCTCCAGATGTGCTGGACTACAGTAATTCCTATTATCCTCAGTCAGCAAAAGTGGGGGAGGGGCGCACAGGCGGAGGAAGGCTGTCTGAAAGAGTGGGAAGACAAAATAGAGCCCTAACTGGAACAAGAGAAAAGGAAATGGGCATTGAGTGCCCGAGGTAGGATATACCACGTTCAACTATATCTATTTTAGGATGTAAATACAAGTGTACATATAACATTGGAAAAGGGAGTGGAGGGCGGGAGGAATCACTTGCCAAGGATGGAGGGCCTTTACGTTCCTCAAATTTTTGCCACCTTTTCAATAAGAGGAAATAGACGTCATTTTGATGGTAGGTCGTTGAGTGCACGCATCCTGCGTCCGCGCCATCATCCTTTCAAGACACATCCCGTAATTGCTGAATAACCTCGCCTCGCCCGGCCCTCAGCTAACACAGCTAATCTCCCTCAGCGATGGAGGCAGAAACGGGCAACACTAGAGGAACAAAATGCACTATTTCTATAAACCCACGTCGCTAAACCAATTTGCATTAAAGGACATCAGCATCCTCGGGTCTCTTTCGAAGCAGCCCTGGTAGAGGCGCGATCCTCCAAAGTAGACCCGAAAATTCTCCCTCTAGCGGCAGATGGTTAAAATGTCTCTCTTCAGCAAACTTAATCGGAGCCAACTGATGTCTTCCTTCACATTTTTTACCAAAAGCCGTTGGGTGTTAAAAGATTCCAGTAGCCTTCTTATATAGAGTAAGCCCTGATTAGATTCCTAACAGGAAAGAAGTGGAGGGCGCTAAAAGAGGCAAAGGCCAAGTTAGCCTTCTCGATTTTTATTACAATATTTACATTTTTACTTCGACCACAAAATTCTGCTAGAGCAGATTTAGCTTATGAATAATCAAGATGCAATAATGAAATCACAATAGCCAAAGGAAGGCAAGCAAAAATGGGAGAGGCTACTGCCAAACAAACTTGGCAAGATCCAAGCTATTTGTGATTCTGGTTTTGCTTCTTCACATCTGAGCAACTACCATTAAATTAGAAAACTATTCTAATTTAACCTTTTGTTCTCAGAGTAAACAAGCAAATATCTTTGAAAAGCTCAATAGTACCATCATACTCCTAGTATTGGTCCAAAGTAGCTGGCACTGAGATTCTAATGTTAAACACCATCTATAGCCATAAAAACCAATAGCCATATTGCAGAAGAACACTGTGGTTTACTATTGTCCACAGTTGGTAAGGTTTCTTATTCTCCAATTCTTCTTAATTTCCCCCTTTGAGGTAACTTCCTTTAAAAAAATCTGGCCAGTATTGCTTTCCAATTCCCTCCTGTAGTATAGCTATCCTATATTAGAGTGTTATAGTCCAACCCTAATCAAACTTCTGTATGATGAATTGCTTTTACCCCTATCCAGTGCTTCTTTTGTAAAAAAAAAAAAAAAAAAAAGGTGCTGGAACTCACACACGTCATACAACCCGCCTTGCCTACCCTACAAGGTTTACCTTTATTGTTGAAAAAAAACCCTTCAATTTTTAGTGTATCTAAAATACTAGGATTTTGTTCAAGATAAGTTAATACTATTAATGTTACCATGCACTGTGTGACTTTAAATTACAAGAAGGCATTTTATTAATCTTTTGGGACATTTACCACTGGCATACCCATTTAGTTTAATGAGTGGAAATTTCAGCTTTCTATGTGGAATGAAATTGGCCCAATAAAACAAAATTTGGTTGCTTGTAAAAAATTGAATTATTTTTAAGAAGTTGTCAAACAAGATGGAAAAATTCACATTTGGAGTTTAATATGGATATTGACTTGAAACAAATTAAAGTTGAAACTTTTGTCAGTCACAAGACATTGGCTTTATTCTTATTCTTTCCCTCTGCAGTTTGAATATAAAGTATAAAAGACTAAAAAGAGATTTTTGTAGACATCCCAGCCTTTGAATTATCCAAGGAACCGAAACAGCAGTTTCGCTGTCGGGCAAGCTTCCACGCCAGCCACCTCTTTCTTCTCACTTCGCCTCTTTTTAACCTCACACCCCACCTTCTGTAAGGGAAGGCAAAAGGCTCACTCACCCTCTCGTGAAAGATGGCCTCCATGTTTATGTGTCTCCCACCGCCACCATCGGCTTCCACACCACATGGTCCAACCCAGCCAATCAAGCCACACTCTAGCTGTGGTGCTCCGGTGCCTCATGGCTCTTAGAGGAGGCAGACAGCACTGGAGGGGACCCTGCTTGCACCGTACCACCAGCGGGGCATTTTCAAAAACAAACGAGGATAGGAAGGGAAACAATAGGAAAAGAACGCAACTCTGGAAAATCCGTTGAAAAAAGGTGCCGGAACTCTATTCCAGTGCGTTCTATAACAAAAAAAAATCCTGTCCCTATCTTGTATTGCTGTAGCTTATGATAAAACAGAACACAAAAGGTTCTGGAGTTGCTTAATATTCTTAATGGCAAGCATCACATGGCAGAAAATAGGAAAATGATTTTTCTTTCAATTTCAGAAAGCCACTGTAACAAAATTGATGGACAAGATTGTCCAGTTGTAAAACAACTCATTGTGTTTATTCTGATGTTTAGTTTTATTATTTCATTTGTTTCCCTACTTCATCCCAATGCTTAATTATGAACCATTTTAGGACAAAGACTTTTATCTCTTAATTTTGTAAAGTACCATGTACGTATGTACAGTATTTTTGTAAAAATACACTTTTGAAAAATGTATTTCAGTGGCTTCACTATTCAAACTCTGAGCAAGTCTTTTCAATCTTTTTTGGTCACTACTTCCTAAGGCTTGGAAAGATCCATGTGAAAGAACTTCCCCCAGGAAGTTCAGGGCAATTAAAAATGTGTTTCTCCATGTCCAATTATCAGTACACACAAAGTGAAAGATATTCAACAAAGATTACCAAGATGAAGCACAGTGTTCTCCAGAACGACCATTAAGCATAACCCACATTAGAACAGATCCAGGCATTTTTATCTGTAGATTTCTTCACAGAATTTCTTCAAAGGGGATTTCTGAACACTGTTAACATTTAAAGCAAGCTGTCATCCAAATCTTTATAACATGGAATTGACATAGATTCAATAGTAACAGAAGATTTTTTTGCTATCATGAAATGGTTATATTCAATAAGATTCTCTTCGCCTTTGCTCTAATCTTGATAAACTAGAAGTCCAAATAATTCAGCCTTCCTCACAAGATATAAAGGAGCCAGTTTGACCTAGTAGTTAAGGCACCAAACTAGAAAGTGGGAAACTGATTTCTAGTCCTGCCTTAGCCATGAAAGCCACCAGCTGTTTTGGTTAAAATAGGAGGAAAATATGTTGGATATGTTTGGCACCTTGAGTTATTCATAAATTTAATCAAGATGTGATATAAATACGGTAAATAAAAATAAAATCTTTAGAGATTGCAGCTAATAATACACAGCTGACCCCCCACAAAGACTGTAAGCAAGCTTAAGTTGCATAAATTATGATACTGAATTATGTTCTACATTACTTTTTCAGCATTTTAACAAAATAGATAGTCCTGAATAAAGACTTTTAAGTTGAGGGTTTAAATCTGGGGAAAGGGCTTATAAATAGTATTATTTATGAAAAGAGGAAATAATAAAACAAGGTGACATAGGAAAACGGGGGAGTTAGGTAAAATTTTGCTGGAAAAAAGAGCCAAAATTAGATTCAGCCCTCTTTGTATATATACTTTAGTTGTACTTCTAATACAAACATAGTTTGGTAGTGAAACGTCTGCTAGAAAACAACCAAGCTCAGAGAGCACCAAGGACCCCACAATGCAAGCATCTCTTTTCTCCATTAGTTTCTGCATTTATGTTGAAAGAGACATGTACCATATATCACACATAGACTTGATGAGTCTTCTGAAGCAAATGTGAAGCTTACCAGATGGCATATTCCAGATGACTTATAAGTAACCAGCAAATGAAATATATTTAGCTCAATTCAAGTCATTATCTGATAAACCTACAACTTGTATAAGCCTATCTATGTAGATATCCCTTCTATTATGGTTTGTTGCTCAGCCAACCAGATGTTCAGGCTGGATTTGGCATTTTTGTCTGTCTATTGAGTCTTTCCCAAGGACCAGAGATAGGCAAATGTGGATGGTTGATGGTGTTAGAGGTATCGTAGCGGGATGTATTCCAAGTAAAGCTGCTTTTTTGCAATTCCTCTTCTATTTTTACATATATGCCTATTATATACATCCTTGATCATTCCTATTTATATAGCAGTAAGGTAAGAACATGCATGTATTTTTCAGGTGAAGTAGTAGAATGTAGATGTAATGGTCATAGCTTAACACATAGTTGATATGAAACTGGCTCTGATACTAAGACAGCAAGCACAGGCTATGATGCTATTATTTTTAATTATAAATAAATATTTGAATTCTAGCTAGCTCATTTCTGAAGTACCTCAACATGAAAACACTGATGGAGATAATAAAAATCTCAGAATGTAAACAAGTCACTTTTAAGTATTACAGATTGGTGTCTTTATGAAGCTTTTTTCTGAAAAATATATAAAGCAAAGCAAGTAAAACTATAAAATTTCCATAAACTGAAGAATTTTCATAGAAGACTTTCCATTTTTTTGAATAATCCATGATCTAACTCTGCACTTGGACCATCCCCACAAGCTACATATTTGATAAATTCTAGAGAAGCCATGTTAAGCTTTCCACAATGTTGATAGCATCTCCCTTCAGCTATCTTCAGCTAAACAATGAATGTTTTGGAACTAATGCTTAGTTCTGATATAGTTCCTTCAATTATATTGCACTTTATAGGCAATCAACAATTCTTTACAGATACTATACAGAGGGGAGTGGAATGTAAGGAAAAGCTAACCCACGGCTACCTACTGAATTTGTATAAAATTAGAGGTCTGAAGTGGCTACTTGCAACTTCTTATTTTTGGCAACTACATGATGGGTGTTGCTGATTAAGACTTTACACATCAAAATGCTCACTTCTTACCGTAACGTATTCAGATACTAGGTGGGTTCTCTCCAGAAGACTGACCTATTATTGACAAGGTGCAATAAAATGCTTCCATATTCAGACAACAAGACCCAGTGAGATCACATAAAGTAGGATGGAGTCAATAATTTGCTTGACTGATTTTTGTAATGAGTAATGGTAAAGAAAACAATCTTACTAAGGTAACTTGTGCTATGGAGATTAACAGTTATAGGGACTGAGTCACTATGCCACTGATACTCTCAAGAGCTTACATTTGTGCCTCTGTAGGCAATGAAAACAGACAGGCTCTTTTTGAAAAAGAATATTTTTTATTTGTATGCCATCTGAACATCAGATATACCTGGTGTGTGTTAGCGTGAACCATTTGTACATTTTGAAATTCATGGTGCCAAACCCTCCCCCAAGACCAAAAAACAAAACAAAACAAAAACCAAACCCACCTCTCCCCAGAACATTTCAACTGGCTGACACAGAGAGAAACTTTAAAAATGCTAAGTACACAAAAAGAAAAAAATAAAGAGAAAAGCAGCATGAAAAAAGAGGGGTAGATACAGCCAGTTAAAAGCTGTCATGCGTATGCAAAAATATTTTGTGGCATAGGAGAAGCAAGTTTACAAAATAATTATGAGAAAGCAGAGAAAGAAAGTGGAAGATGAGGGCAATGATGTGGAAGGTTACACTACTCATATGTCAAGCAACACCTTAAATATAACTTCATTATTCAATGACAAAACACCAGGGTGAAGAGTGCCGTCTCTCCCACACAAAACCATCACTCTAAAGTTCCTCCAGATTTGAACAGAGACAGTTTTAAGAGGCAAATCATTTACAGCAATCTCCTTCATTCTAGGATTCCCCCCCCCCCCCCAATACATGCCAAGGCTCCTCAGACCATGCCAGCTTGGAATTACTTGAGCTGAAATCCAAGATAATTTGTGGGCACCAGGAGTAAGAAGGCTGCTTTATTTTTGCTGCAAAGGTGCCTCTGAAAAGTTCTCCCCTCTCCCTGATGAAATGTTTATGGCCAAAAATTGTTTTCCGGAAATAATAGTGAAGTAGGCAGGGATGCCTCCTACCAATGCAAAAGATAGGTTGCCAGAAAATTCAATAATTATCACTTGCTCCATCATTATATCTAGTAGTCAGATTAATTTAATATTGGAGCAATTAGTTGCTTGATCTTTAACATAGATTATGAGGAAATTCATTGCTGAAATGACCGTATGGTAAACTTTAGGAAATCTGTTCTGCAGTAAATCCCCATAGATATCTGGCATAGTAACAGAAGAATGCAGTTTCAGATAGCAGCCACATGGGTAGTGTAATATGCAGCCATGCCCTCACCCTCAAAGGGAGGCTTTATTCTTGATGCTCAGGGAATGGAACAGAGATTAAAAATACCTCTGGATGGCCCAAACCAGCCTTCCGTTAATAAAAACCCATCTACTGTTTTTTAAAGAAATCAACTATTAAGAACAGAAGCTCAATTGTACTTTCAATGGCATATCTTGCAAAATTAAAAGGCAAGTACATTCTAGCCTTTTTTTTAAAAAAGCATGCAATACAGAACCAGGAAACCTTGAGTGCTACTGTTCAAGAGTGGCTATTTTCTGCCCTTTTACTGTTATGGAAAACTGTATTTTAAGCAGGCCCCATGTGATAAGGCCTAAGAATTGTAGATGGGGCACTTAAGGATGACAGAGGCCTATAATATTTTTTTTACTGATTCTTCAATAAGTGTGAAAATTGATGTGGCTTAGCCACCCTGACTGCCCATAACTCCTGAATTCTGAACACAAAGTTAATATAAGCTCCCAATTTCTAATTCACCCTTTACAAAGGACAAAATTCCTACATAGAACACAATGCTATGGAGGGAGTTTGTGGGAAACCAACATGCACTCATGGACATTTGCTACCTGGGCACATGCTTAGAAACAGTAATCAAGCTTGATTACCCAGTGCATGTATGCCTGCGGACAATCATGTTGGACACAATGCACAGAAGAAATACCTTCTATGCAGGAATTTTGTGTGGCTGGGTTCTTGTGACTTACAAGACATCTTGGCCCATCCCTTTGCCACCTTCAAGAAAATGAAAAGCAAGTTTGTTCATTTTAAAGGTAGCATAAGCCTCAGTCCTTTTATTTAGGATGCTGCCACTGCTTCCCTTCCCCCCCTCACCCCAAAACACTTCTTTTTTTAAAAAAAACATTATTTCCCCATCCCAGTACAAAGTTCAGCAGGTAAAAGGTTACGTGGAAACTGGAACACACAATTGTATAGACAAGATGGATCAGATGAGGAAGTCTTAAAACAGCCTTCCCTATCCTAGTGGCCTCCAGATATATTGGGACTATAAATCCTAGAATTCCTGGCCATGTTGATTAGGAATTCAAAGACCTATAGTTCCAACACATCTGGAGGCCACCAGGTTGGGAAAGGCTGTCTTAAACTTTTTGAGTGACAAGGAGAGCAAAAGGGGCGTGGGGAACCAAAAAACCCCCACCATCTTCTAGCCTTTTGTTCCACCACCCCCCAAAGGTTTCACGCATCAACGCTCCAAACAGCCAACAGTTTTCAATTCTGCAAGGGGAAAAAAAAAAGATGGAGGCATATCACTCAATAGCATAATCCTTCTGGAGGGGGTACAAACATCTGTTACAGCTTTAATCATGGGCTGTAAGAACCCCCTCACCTATGTCAGCTTCTTGGCTTTGTTGTATAATGAATCCACTACTTTACTCATATTCTGAATGGTCTCCAGAGCAGCTTCGTATGTTTTGTCTACAGGTGGTTCATCAAAAATAATCAGGACGCCTTCACCTTGGTCAAGAATCCCTAATGAGAGAAAAGTTTCAATTAAGATTCTTGGATAGCTTATATCTCTAACACAGAATGTTCCACTTTAATTTTGACAGACTTCAAAGGAGCAGATCAAGTAGAGTAGCTGGGATTAATTATTTAATAAATAAAAATTAGACCCCAACTATATAGATTCTAAATGCAGTAGTTTTAAAGACCAGGATAAAGGAAAAGCCCTACAAGTTGTAGGAATTCCTCAATATAATACAATCTATATTATATTGTTAATGCTTGTTTAGGTACATATTTATTCAAAAAGAAATACTATCAAATATTACAAAGGGCAGAAACATACTCTTTTCTTGAGAATTGTGGAAGACTCACCATGGAATTTTTTGTCCAGAATCATCTGAGAGAGCTTTCTTTCCACATCTGCCTGAAATTGAATCAGGAAACATTCAAATGAGAGAAAGCTCCTTGCTTAGAACAATTTCCCCCCCTTTGTTTTCCCTTGAAAAACTATTTTCCACTACTTACTTATTTCAAAGAAACAGTTGCCAAAGTTCTTACAGTTCAACTCATGAATATCTGTTTAGCAATACAGCTTATTTCTACAGATACGGAGTTACATTATTTCAGGCTTAGTAAGTTCTTTTTTTCTTTTCATTTAAATTCTATGAAAATTACTTATGTCTTTTTAAAAAGAGTTGAAATTGAATTTGGGATTTCTTAAATCACTTCTGTTGCTGAAGAAAATTAATGTGATTCCCCCCCCCAACTGTTATTGACATTGTAACAAAAAATGACTGAAAATAGCATTATGTAGGCAGCAACATTTAAGTGCTTACCTTTGATAACTTGATAAGGATAGATATATGGTCGATCTGCAAAAGCAAATAAGGTGGGGCCACAATGAGGAAGTGTTATTTTTCTGATAGAAACATCAATATGGAGTAATTATCTGTTAATCTTCACACTATTTGCTTCTACCATTGCCTTCACAACTAACTGTGAGAAATTATCAGCCTTATCAGAGAGACCAGGCCAAGAATCCACTTCACTGGAAGGCTAAAACAACTTTTATTAAGAGTGGCTATAATAACAGAATCTTACAAGTTTGATTGTGCTATATCTCCTTGCGTTTTTATATTCATGTGAATTAGGAAGATATTTGTCTGACTCTCTTCCACATATTTTCTGCTTGTTATAGACTTAATATATATTTTCCCTTGTCACTTTGGTAATGGATTTTACAATGGATCTGTCAAGTTTACCTTCCTTATTTTCTACACAATTTTAACTTTGGTGTTAGCTCTTCTGATTCTTTGATTCACACTCGACAGAATTTTTTCTCCATAATGAAACACAAGGTCATTTTGGCAATTACATTTTTATTAATTTGATAGAAAAAATATTAAGATTATCGACTCATACCAGTTTTCTTAAAAAAAAGATGTCATCTTGAAATAATCTTACCAGTTTTATGATCAATTATTTGAAATAATCTTATCACCTGTGTGATCAATTATCCATTTGAAACACTGTATCTAATTCTGGAGACCTCACTTAATAAAGATATTGATAAGATTGAGTGAGTCCAGAGATGGACAACAAAAAACTAAATCCATTTATTGACCTGATATTCAAAGCTACTGTTCAAGATTTGGAACAGTCTTACACAATTCATTCTACCCTGTAATTCCTCCTGTACTACTCTAGTCCTAATTCATGTACAGAAAATTTCAAAATGGCCTGGCTTAGACAAAATTATTTTATTATTTATTTTATTTATTCATATACAGCTTTTCTTCTAAAATGCTATGTCATACTATGTTTAGCATGATGACCAAATTAATCAAATAAATAAAAATATAATATAAGAAACCATTTTTTTCCAATACAATCAACCACAACACGATGCTCTAAGTTTACAAATCCTTCCCTGTTTTAACCGGGGTTTGTCATTATGTTTGAGACCACAATAATAGTTTAATCCCACTTTGGTTTTGTACTCCATCCAAAAGAAATAAAGGAAGGCAAATCAGAATTGGCCAAATAAGACATAATTAGAGGACTTTAACTAGTTCAATAAGACAGAAATTTAAAAGGGTTTAAAAGATTTAAAGCAAATCTTGGATTACTTTTATGTGAAAATGCCAATGTTTTAAAATAAACTCTTCATGCCCAATTTGATGGGAAAAGAGACAAAACCATGACTTCATTGAAGCAGGAAAATAGCATGGGAAGCTCTGCAGAAACATTTTACCTGCACTCTGGAAAAAGGCTCAATAACCCGGATGAGGTTTTGTTCCAATAAGTTATCATACAGTTTGCCCAAATGCGTGCTGATGATGGGGTCATCCCTGAGTTCCATTTTATAATCTTTCAATGCCTGTGGCAGATCAAATTCAATCATTACTGAATGCAGGAGGCTATCTCACTATCATTCTGACTAAGTTACTTAAAGTTATTGCAGATCATTCATGAATGAAGGCAAATATACGTGTTGCAGGATAATGTTGCAGAATCCAATCTGGGTCAGTCACTGAGACGAGATGTTTAGCCTTCTGAGTTTTTGGACTCAGGGAACTTCTCTCTGCTGGAATGGGTGGTTTTTTTTTTCTGGTAGATGGGCTCCAGCATGAGTCCAAAAGCTCGGAGAACTAAATCTCTGGTCCCGGTGATCAACCCAGATTGGATCCTGCAGACCATTCATGGCCATTCATTTTTAGAATAATCTTTGACATGATTAAAAAGAATTACATATGGGACTGAAATTATTATGAGACTAATGAAAATAACATTCACTAAAAACACACAGACCTATGAATATCCATTAGGCACTTGGTCTTTTGGTCTCTTGCAGATATCATATGGTATTCCTAGTGATGCATGTTTGTTCAGATCTGAAGCAAAAATAGTGCTTCGGAGGGAGTGTAAGTATGCTAGCTGAATCTGTTATCATCTCTTTATGGAGATTCAAAAGAGATAGCAAGTTAAAAGTATTACTTCCACTTTGGATCCAAATAGTTTCTCATACAGAAGTAGCCCTAATCAAATTAAAATGTAATTTTGTAAATAAGCCCTAATTCAGGTCTGTTGTGCAAATCAAGATATTCTTCCAAGAAATATCTATATACTGATAGAGATATTTTATCAAAGTTGAAGAAGGAAATATTTGAACATAGTACTTTATTTCCCAATAACAGAAGTTAACTATTTTTCTTTCTGTTCCAATAGTTCTTCTAGTTTGGCTTTGATTTGTGCATGAGAAGCCTGAAATTTCTGTAAAACATGTTATCTTCAGAATATTTTCACTGGGTGACTTATACAATAGCAGGATCCAAGTTATTGATTTTTCTGACTTTCAATGAAACGTCTTCAACTTAAAATCCACCTTCTGAAGAAATCAGACTTTTCAGTTAAAACAATTGAAAATGTGGCCTTGTAATAGCCCAGGCCACCTTGACAAACGCTATTTTCAAATGACTTCTGCAAATGTATTTTGAAGACTCAAAGGCTGAGTATACTGAAGACATCTCTCCCTTTTTCTTTTCTGCTTTTCCTTTTCTAATAATTAACCTAATACAAAGATATTCAACCCATTTTTCTTATTATAGGTGCTTACCTTTTTGAAATCATCCAGTGATCGATTCTTACTAGCTTGAGCTACACATTTCAGAGCTTCTGTCTGTAAAACAGAGTAGAGCCAACGCTTATGTTCTTCTGAACCACTAGATAGTAATAGTACTTGTATTGTTCTCACATGAGAAAATTGCTTTAGTTGGATAGAATGTAATTCAGGAAGGAACCTTGATCAAAATACTGTTTTAATTCTTCTATGCTCATTTAACTCACACAGTTGCTAAATCACAGAAGCATTCAGGTATATTTTCAAAAAACATTATCCAGACAAAATAATCCCAACATGGAAGCAGAAATTTAGGCTGCTATAATGAAGTACCTGAAAGCGCCCAAGTAGTCAATGCAACTCAAATCCATCAATGGGGATCTAAACTCATTAAAATATAGAAATGCTAACTAGGACTGGAAGTAGGAAACTGGCTCTGATGAGTTGACAGGACAATCTATTTGCTTGGTGTTTTAACTATCCCTTGAAGATTAGAGAGTTGTAATATCCTGAAAACCGGAATTTAATCCAGTTTAACCTCTCAAATAAAAGACAAAATCCCCTCCCCTATGCAACAGAACAAGTCCAGATTTTAACTAAACCACCAAGAAGACAAAATAATTATGCTGGGCAAGAACACTGTAAATAAAGCTAACAAGACCAAGCTACATATGACCATCTGAATTGGGATTTGGAAACAGAACTTGAAAAGCAAGCATTTCTAGAGCTGTCTTCTCTTATAAACAAGGAAACCAATGATCAGAATGCTTCCTTAGCTTTCCACCCTGAAGCAACAATTCATATATCCTCAATGAGGGAGGAGTAAGTTAAACAACCTTTAAATAAATTTACAACAGATCTTGTTGCCAGATGATGCCGACTGACTGCACAAACAGTAATTTCAATCTTTGAATATTAACTGTCTATAAACAAGAATGTGGGCGCCTTAAAAACAGCTTTTGAAACTCTTGGGTAAAACTTGCAGATAGTTTAGCAATTTACACAGAAGTTTAAAAGACTGCCACTAACAGTGGACATCTCAGAGCTAGTCATGAAAGAAAACTACTGGAGAAACCAAGTTAAGACTAATAAGAACAGTGAAATAAAGAGAGATCATATAGCATCACATTGCACAAAAAAATAATAATAATGGGTGCTGGCTTACTAGAAAATCTATTACTGTATTCTAGCATTTAGCCACTATTTTTGAAAACGCAGTTTTCCAACTGTGGCAAGATATCAAATTATTTTGTTGTCATTTAATCCATTACAATTCCTTCCATGTTTGGAAGCACTTTTGAGAGGCATTTTTCAAATATATCAACTATGTGTTTTTCAGGATGACAAAAGGAGTGCATTCAATCTATTACTCTGAGCAGAAATTGTTTTGCCCAATGCCAAGGGCAGCGTGCCAAATTATAAAAACCATGGCAACCAGTAACCCTAGCATTCTTGTCACGACAAAGTTGCAATAATACTCCTAAAATAATGTCAAAAACCCAAGTTACAGACGAGGCCTTGGAAATAGTAGTAATTAACTCTTTTTGGACCAAGAATACTGAGAACATAATGAACTTAAAAGCTAGAAATAATGTGTGCAGCAGGCCAAACACTGATTTGGTATCCTTGAATTTGACAATGCAGAAAGCCTTTATAAATCTCAAGAGCCCTACAATTTAACTCCATCATCAAAGCAGAGAAAACTTCACACTTGAGCAAGTCTAAAGCAGCCTGATTTGCCCTAATCTTGCCAATCACTATGCCAGAGATCTGATCCATCATGACTTGTCTGACTCGGATCAAGAAAGGGGACAAAAAGAAACTGATACATCAATACCACATACAGTCAAGCCCCCTAGCCATCCAGTTCAATTGAGCTCAATGATAGTAATCCAATGACATAAGATCAGGGATGCTGCTTTTTAACAAACCCCATTTTGATGAATCACTACACTAATGCTGTTAGCTCATCTTTCTGCATTCAGATGGGAACACATGCCAACTGATGGGTTCCCAGACCACATAGGATGCAAAAAAGACATCTCATAAAATACAGCTGGTAGTAGAACAAATTAGTGGGAACTGTTTTGAGCAATATTTACAAACTTTCTTTTAATAGGAGTTAGCTAGAATTGGAAAAATGTTCAGGAACAAAAAATAGTTGAGGATTTTTATACCTGTCTACCTGCATACCGCAATGCAAGCTTCCCACTCACCAATGCCTGCACATCCTCAGGTCTGTAAAAAAGCAAAAATATATTTACTGAATCCCTGAATTCAGGCTACAAAGGTACCTCACCATATAATCACTGCTTTCCAGAAAAATCTGCATTCTATTATCAGTTTTATATTAATATATTCAAAATGCTTTATGGGAATGCCCAATAAGCATGAACCAAAGAAAATCAGGAGAAAAAGAAACCAGCTTTTGCTTGTAGCCACTGGAAATGTCAGAGTAATAATAAAAAGATCAAGAAATATATATGGAACTACAAACCAGATATTCTGACATCAATAACAAAATAACAGTATTGATATAAAGGATTGGACAAAATGTTTCTAGGATTTCCTTTTTCAAATGTCATTCATTCTGGTGAAGAAAAACCAAGAGAACCTTTGCTTTCTCTTAGCTGTCAGAAATAAAAGTAAAGTTATATTTTAACCTCCAGCTATCCCAGTAGTCAACTGAGTCTCCTCAATATTTTGACTAGGAAAGCATGTTATAAGACACTCAATTCTGTTAGATGGCAAGGAACTCAAATATAGTGGCCTTTTCACTCTTAAGGATTTGCTTCTATCAAGCACTGCCTAGGTTTTTTAGAGCAGAGCTGAAAGAGGTAATATTTTGCCAGTGGTAATGCAATTCCAATATGGAGAAATCTAAATGAGACACAAAGGCAAACATTCTACCCTTGTTTGCTCCCTTTCCTGGCTTTTAATTTTTCCCTTTTTCCTCTTGGTGTTCTTATCTTTTCAACCACCATCAGGAATTGAAACTCAACTTATTGATATAAGAATTTAACAAATTGCAGCCTGTGGTATGGTCAGAGCAACTGTCCTCTGTGCAGGTGTAAAAAAAGGAAGTAAGTGCATGTTGCATTCCCTATGTCAATCAATAAAATCACATACGAGTTTAACATGATCTTGCACAGCAGCATATACTTCAATGCAGTGATGGCTTTGGGGCTGTCAATAGAATCATAACCTTCGAATGCCTCATAGAAGTAAGAATATGCTGTCTTCCAGTCCTTTTCTTCTGCTGCATGGATAATACCTATTAAAGGGGAAATAAAAAAGAAGTCTGAATATAACTGAGGTACCTGGAGAACAAGATAAGGGAAAACATTGCTGCCAAATCCTATTTATTTCTCGAAGCCAGAAAATTGTTAAACTTTCTTATTTATCCCCTGCTGTGAGGTAGAACAAGAAAAAATAATTGTGCTATAGCTAAAATTATTCTAATCTTCACAAAATTTATTTTCATATACTCATGAAAAATAATAGATATAATTTCTTCCAATATTTAAAGTTTCACCAACCTTTCTGATAGCAGACTGAATGAGACTCAAAACAACATCAACTATATTAAGTACCTACTAAATTACAGAAGTCATGTCAAGGAAATAATCAAGAAATGTTCAGACGTATAATTCAGGATATACTTTAACAAAAGAGCATTATCTAACTATTCAGATAAATTCTGTCTGTATCTAGTTGCTAATGACTGCATCTTAACATATAAAACAAAACTTATCTGTTCTTGTAATCACTGAAGCAATGGTCAGATGTTTCTATTTTGCATGAATTCTTTATATAAAATAAATTCTTTTCAAAATGCTACAAGAAATCCAGCAATTACAGATAGTACTTAGGTTACCACCATTCATTCAGCAACTGCTCAAACTTACAATGGCTTTGAATGAGGAGACTTATAACAGACCCTCGGAGTTCCAGCCACTGCAATGTTCCCACAGTAATGCCTGCAATTACAACATTGCAGCAAGCCACAATCACGTGATCATAATTTCTGATGTTTCCTGTGGCTTCTCACAAGCAAAATCAAAGAAATCAGAAATCATGGTCACAAGGCCATGAGTTCCTTGCTTAACGATGGCTGCTGTCACTAAGTAATACAATCATACAACATCACATTCCTTAGCAATGGCAATTTCTATCATTGTAACTCGAGGACTAACTGTATCATTCAAAGCAGATATTCTTAGCCTACAATAAACTTTGAAAATTATCTATTCATACAATAATCTTTGGAATATACAGTACATACTACAATTTTCCCTAGACAGACTGCTTCAGCGTGATTCTGTCATAAACATTTTTGCATTATTAGATTTTTATCCTGTTTTTATATATAACTCAAGGTGGTGAACATGCCTAATATTGCTACCTCCTATTTTCCCCACAACTATCACCTTGTGAGGTGGGTAAGACTGAGGGAGAATGACTGGCCCAAAGTCATCTAGCCAACTTTCATGCTTAGAGAACTCCCTCCCTCCCTCCTGTTTTCTAGGCCAGCATCTACACCAAACTGGCTCTTTTTTCTTTTTTTCTATGACCTACAGTTTATTCTGCATGAGATTATAAGCCAATCTTTCCCCATTTTGTGCTCTGGTTGTTATAAGAATGCAAGAACCCTGGACAGCTAGCAAGGTGGCTGCGGTACATTGCAGATTAAAATAATCTGGGGACTCAAGACGTGAAAATGCTAGATTTTATTTCTCAGATGGTGCAAGTACTGATGACCCAAGATCAAGGCACCCATAATACGAAAAAAGCACAAGGCCATACCTGATTGCATATCCAATGCTGCCTGCAACTTGGGTGGACAATAGATTGCATTGGCTGTGGTTCGGGCAGAGGTTAATGCTGCTCTGGCTTTTGGCAGGTTGCTCAAGGCATGATAAGTTTTGCTCTCTAATAGCTGCACTTCCACCAACAAGGCCTTGTCATCCATCTTCTTTAACTCCCGCAAAAGCTGTGAGCCTGATGAAAACAACATGGATGGTGGCATTTACACCATATTAAAAACCTTCTTCTGAATCCTTTAACTCAGTGGTTCTCAACCTTTTTAATGCCGCGACCCCCCAACCGGTCGTACGTCGAGGACTAAACCGGTCGTAAGTCGAGGACTAAATCGGTCGTAAGTCGAGGACTACCCAAACGGTCGTAAGTCGAGGACTTTCCCTGCCCGGGAGCGTCGCGCATGCGTGGTTCCGCCCCCTGCACCGGCCGAGGCGTAGCTGGCAAGCGGCAGAGACGGAGCAGGCCGACCACCAGCTGGCCCAACTCAAGGGAGGTAAGGCACCCGCCAGAAAAGGGGGGGAAAATGGCGGACAGCCTTGCTTGGCGACCCCCGTGAAATGGTTGATCGACCCCAAATGGGGTCGCGACCCATAGGTTGAGAACCGCTGCTTTAACTCAATTAGAAAAAAAATAATACATTACTCTGATCAAAATATAGGAAGAGTGAAAACAGCACATACAAAGTTAATACACTAAATGCAAAAACTAATATTTCTCTTTTTCAATATCAGTATGATATTCCCAAAGCTTCCAAATACATTATGTTGCCTAACTAATGGTATTAGTCATTAATAAGATACTTTATTATTCTTTACAATGCAGAAAACTCAGCAATTGCTAGTTGCTCAACTAAGTCACTATGAAAAATTAAGAACATATATTTTGTTTCAAACCTACAAGCATATTGGGTTCTGGACATTTTACCAAAACATCTTGGACTGGCTGTAGTTCATCGGGAAAACAAAAGATAAATACTTAGCTAATATGATATCCTGTGGGAGTGATTTTATGGGATAAGTAGGTCAAAACTGGTGCAGAACACCTTTTTTCTTCCCTTAGCAACTTCCAGTATCCCTCTCTCCTGTTCATCCCCAGTCTTTCTAGGATCTTCGCCTTTCCCCATAGCCTCTACCAACCCCAGTGGCCTTGACTTTTCCCCTCTCTATATCCTACCTGAAAACAATGCAGCTTGTAACAAATGTTTCAAACTGTTTCCAGATCAAAAATAGCGCTAATTCATTCCATGTCGAGGCCAAACATGTTCTCAGTTCATGTAAAAATCACCTCAAATTAGCTGTTCCATGCATTCACCATTGTACACATCCCTAGAATAACTGTAAATAATCATTGGGATCAGTCTAGGGATGATTACAGAAGTCAACTTACCTAACTGCAATGCTTCTTGATACTTTTTTGTGTCAAAATACAAAGAAACCAGCCTTGCCTAAAGAGAGAAAAGTAAAGAATCGTTATCAAAACTACCTTATGATAATTAGATACTGATCTAAGAGCCAAAATGTGTAAAATATGAACCAGACAAGGCTCTTGGGAAAATGTATCAGGAGTGACAAGAAAACACAGAAAAAAAAACCCATACTAGAAAGTTACATCCACAGTAATGCAAAAGAAATCAGCAGAAAAAATGCTTTTGAAGTGACACTTTCAAGGATAGAAACATGGACTAAAGGCATACATGGAACTGCATGTGTTAACACATACAGAGAGAAACACCATTCTATTAATCCATTTACAAGTAAAAATCTTACTTCATATCTGAGAAAGCTCTTTTAAAAAGCAAAATATATATGCATTATAAGCTGGAGGAAAAATTGCCTGGAATAACATGTGAATATTAGTTTGGAAGCTTATCATACTCCAAACTACTACTTGAGAATATGCCATCAATAATCTAGAGAAAAAAGTAATGACAAATGTTTGAGTATAATATATTGACATACAGGATGTCAGGTTCCATACCCAAATAACAAGTGAAAGAATATTGCACATCACTACATTAACTACAATGGGCATATGTTACATCCTACCTCCAGAGCTTGGCGCAGGAATGTCCTCTTCTCTGATTTGGCCCATTCAATGCATTCAAGACATAGGTCAACCTAAAAGAAAAACCACATTTATTCAATTATTTTTCTACTATTTGTACCATCACTACCATCACTACTGTCATGATACCATTTTCTACATAAACTGTTTCTGAACATTTGCAAGAGGACTTTTCAGAAACAACTGCCAACATTCTGAATTTGCAGTAGCATACCTGTGCCTGAATTTCAGTTGTCTCACCTCTTGTCCTGTTGCAGCTTCCATATCTAGGAATAGATCTAGCAGGGACCGAACCAGACGGGCTGCCTTTGCCTTGCTAATGGAGTTCAAGAAAGGACGCACATACTTCAGAAGTCCTCCAAGCTCTATATTAATGATAAAATAATCAAGTAGCAATATAGTTCAGGATCTGAAATTGTATCAGAATGCATTATAAAAAGTTATGTTTATATTCTAGAAAAAAGTGACCACACATAAATTTCAGCAGTCAGTTATCTGAGCCAGAAAAGGCATATTTTTTAGAAAAACTACTAGTAATGTGACCATTAAATTGCTTTAAACATAGGATTCACCTTCTGCTTGTCCTGTCTTGGCCAAGAGACTTCCGAGTTCCAGGATGCTCTGTTCTTTGACTTGGACTGCTTCTTCATCATTCTCTTGAACATCACGTTTCACTGAGAAGATAAAAGATTTTGATGAAAGAAGAGCATATAGCCATATATCAAATCAAAGACTGTTTACAAGTCCCCAAAACTTCCATTTTAAATTTCCTTCTTATAAGCCAAAAACACATGCCTGACAAATTGTTCAGAGTCTTGGAAAGGAGCTGAAAGATCTGCATGATGAAGCAGTTCATAACATAGAATATTTATACAGGGCGACTTGATGTTACCCCATTTGGTGTTAATACTTAAATCAGCATAAATATAGGCACAACTATGAAATGAATCTCCCATACTAGATATTGTAAATAAGATAATGCATAGAAAAATATTCAACACAAAGAACAAATATGTCACCAGTGCCAATGTATTTGTATGAACAGACAAAAACCCACTATTATTCAGAGAAGCCAATACAGTAAACTGCACAGTGCAACAGTGCAACATCCAATATTTAAGGCATGAAGGAAATACAAACTTCTCGTTTGAGAGATCATCCAACTATCTTTAGCAATATTGAGGGTGAATATCATATACTTTCTTGAAATTAAAAAACACATCTCTCCACTATAATCTACTTACAAAGGTTCATTGGCAAAATTAGCCATTCTATTCCATTCTAATTTATCTTCTTTTCATTCTGGGACAACTGGCAATGGAAAGAAGAGCAACACTGACACCTATGATAGATTGTGCTTAAAATTATGGCATTATAGAAAAACAAATGCTATGACCTAAAATAAACTTACTGACAACAAAAGCTGTTCTCAGGATACAACAGTTCTCAATAGCAAAGTTACTGAGCAAAATTAATATCAATTTTTAAGCCAACATTTTTTTAGAAAAATCAGAATCTCATAAAACTTATTTTGTCTTAGGCTAAATATTGTCAAGTACAGTGAAAATGCAGAGGAACCAATTTCCTAAATCTGTTTTCTCTTTATATTTTCCAGTGACTCACTATCAGGATTCACTAAGCACTACAAGGCCAGGGAATCTTTGGTGTACAGGTAGCAGTTTGCCCTCTGTGGTGTACTCATCTCCCTAATCTCTTCTCTGCTGGCAAGCTCATGAAAGTAAAAAAGCTCCACAGCAGGGGTCTGACTTACTCAAATTTATTTTGTGAGAGAAAAAGTTATGTTGTCTAACTCTGTTACCAAGTAACATGTTTTACAGAAAATTAACTTAAATGTGAAATAAAATGTATGGAATATGGCCACAGATCCCCAAGACTTAACTCAAGATTTAAATCATAACATTTCTTCAAGTCTTCACAGGTCCCCTGTGACAACATTGTGGCCCCCAAAGGGTCCACGGACCAAGACTGAAGTAGAGTATTAAGACAGATGTGTAAGAGGATCTGCATTGAAAGGTAATTCTCATAATTACACACCTTTTGTACAGCAAATTGGATTTTCTCTCACTATCTGATTTGGGAAACCTACCCTTTCTGGAATATGCTTAAAATTATATATAATTGATTCAACCAAATTCTTTTTACATATGAACATTACAAGGACAGTCCTTTTAAAATCAGAACAAAACCTCATCTAATCTAGTAGTTAACCAATAGTTAACTGTTCTCATAATGGACATAAGGATAATAGCTACCTTGTTTAATAACAGCAGCTGATTATTTCCACACCATATATTTACCTACATGGAGTTAAAATAGACTTTTGGAACAAACAAACTTACCAGAAATACCTTTACAGGGAAAAGCCAGAAACATTTAAAATGTGGTCCACCAATAGCTTTACTCATGCTGCTTTGCCATTTTTTTCTATATCCAATTTCTGTATTAGCTCTTTTTAGATCCACCATTCTTACTCTTCAAATGAATCAATAAAACATTCAGGATATATTAATTTACACTTACCAATAGAGTCTCTTGACTTTCTAGAACCAAAAAGGGAATTTTTTCACACCATGTAAAATGTATTATGTACTCCACCCGCCTGTCAAAACTAGTGATATAAATATTGAATGATGAACATATTAAACTACCAGTAAAGCAAGTGTAATATAGTTCCTTACATATTAACTGTGACCAAGAATCCACTTTCCACTCACATTAGAAAATCAACCTCCATTTCAAAAACTCATACACTTTCCAAATCTCTGTATACCGTCATCCACTCATTTCTTTTAGCGCCAAAGAAAATGGCCTTCGGAGATCCGAAAAAGTGAAGGAGGTGAAGCAGGCCTGACAGCCTGCTTAGGAAATTACAAACTAGCCTAACTAGGCCAGGGCAAGGGCTACAAAGTAGGTGAAAAGCGGCAGCAGAAACCATTCCTAGCGGGCAAATCCGCCGGTTTAGCTTCTAATCTTTAAGTCACCTCTTCTGAATAAAAGCCAACATGACAGGTCAGAGGGCCCGCTTGGTGCTCCGAGGCCACCTGTCAGCCTCGACCCTCGCCTCAGATCAATCCTAGCATTTCCACTCTTCCAAGCCTCACTTGCTTTCTTCATTTCCACGAATAGATGCTGAATAGAGAGACCTACTCAGGCCTTTCCCACTAGCCTTCCCATTTCCAAATTCCTCCTTAACAGCTCCCACTTTCCTTCGGAGTTGCTCACAGTGAGTCAGCAGCGGTTCCAGCCTAACCCCTCCAGGCCCAGCATCAATCTCCTTCCACTATCGGCAGCCAGATTACCTGCCAGTTTTCCCCTTTTCGGCGGGCCCAACTCACCTATGGAATGCAGAATGCCAATGGAGGCCTCGCGATCAGTGCTCAGCAAAGACTGGGCGCGCTGGAACTCCAAGCCCGCCGCAGCCGCCATCTTAAAAGCCAAACTCGCTCACTCACGCCGGCCGGAATCACAGGGCCTTATTTCCACCGGAAACTGCTTGTCTCACTTCCTCTCCTTCCACTTTGCTGCGTCAAGCTGTAATGATATAACTCTATGATTACCCACCAAGAAGCAGTGTTGGCTGGGAAATGTAGTGTTTTGTGAACGTCGTAGGAATCAAGCGGGTAAGTTGTTGTTACTAGGATACCAAAGAAGCGAGGCAGGAGATGTTAACCTGTCTACGCTCTTCGCTAACTCAACATCGTAGAACTACGTAGAATACGTCCATTGTTAGGTACACACAAACTTGCAATTGACTGAAATTGATTTAGATGTTTGCTCATGGTTATCACCATTCCCTAGTTTCAAATAGGACAGTTTCTAAACGTTTCTTCAGTAGTATCCCCTTCTAAATTCAGAATAAAGAGACCACTATTTCAAGTCAAAATCAAGTGATTTATCCTCAGCCCAACCTTTTTTTGCAACTTACGGTAATGGAAAACCACTTATTTTGAATGAAACACAAATGTTTTGAAATTCAGTAGATCAGGCCTATGATGCTAGACCACAGAATTTAAGCTACTCTTCTAAGAATTATATGAAATGTAATTGGATGTCTTAAATCTGCACAGAATTAGGAGGTAAATCAAATTCAAGTTGCAGCGAGGGAAAGGTGTATATACATATTTCTTTCATGGCAGTTTGAATTTTTACTTACTGTTTCTGTGCTCATTGATAGCACTTGCTAACCAAAGGTTATCACTTAGATTATCTGAGAATTATTACAAAGTAGGTTGGCATTATCTCTATATTACATGTGGTCCTCGACTTACAACAGTTCATTTAGTGACCATCTGAAGTTACAACAGCACTGGAAAAAGTGATTTATAACCGTTTTTCGCACAACAATTATAGCATCTTCATGGTCACACGATCAAAATTGTGTGCTTGGTAATTAACTCATATTTATGACGGTTGAGGTGTCCTGGGATCATGTACTTATTTTTTGCGACCTTCTGACAAGCAAAGTCAATGGAGAAGCCAGATTCACTTAACAACTGTGTTACTAACTTAACTGTGGCAAGAAAGGTTGTAAAATGGAGCAAAATTCACTTAACAACCATCTCACTTAGCAACAGAAATTTGGGGCTCAATTGTGATTTTAAGTTGAGGACTTAAAACCTCAGGTATAAGAGAGGATCTAAAGTCTCTAATGATTTTATGGCAATAAGGAATAATTAAATAGTGGTTTTCTGGGGTATGCTTACTTACTGTAATTGTCTCGTAGAGGTAGTCCTCGACTTACAACCATTGGTTTAGCGACTGTTCAAAGTTACAATGGCACTGAAAAAAATAACTTATGAAAGTTTTTCACACAACTGTTGCAGCATCCTCATGGTCACGTAACCAAAATATTCAACAAAGTCATTGGGGAATCCAGATTCACTTAACAACCGTTTTAGTAACAACTGCAGTGATTCACTTAATAACTGTGGCAAGAAAGGTCTTAAAATGGGGCAAAACTTACTAATTGTCTTACTTAGCAATGGAAATGTTGAAGTTAATTGTGGTCATAATTTGAGGACTACCTGTATATAGTATCTTTTCTATAATAAAACTATATTCCAATAGGCATGCACACACACACACACACAAATTACAGATTCTTCTTAGAATTCTAGTTTCCATGGCAATGTTTCCCTCCACTTTTACTGTAATATGTTTTCAATTTTTCCATCCAGAACATTCTTTAAATTATTGAAAAATGTCCCAGTTTCTCTGGATTTCTTTTGTGATATGGACCTTGGAAAGCACACTTATTTTCCCAAAACAAAAAAGTCATATTAAGTAGCTTCTTTAAATAAGCAAACACACATTTTGTGCAATACAACACTTCCTAGCTTTTCTATTCTCTAAGTGCAATAGCTTCAGTACTGCAATATAATCACTGCAGTCTGCAGTAGACTGAGTCTTTATTATGAGCCATGGCAGTACAATAGAGAAAAATCAGTAATATCAATTATTAGACATTTATGCAGTTATAATTGGAAACAGAATGCTGAACTAATTATTCATAATTTATTTCATAGTTTATTAAGATATGCTCTTTTGGGCATGTATGCATTTTCTTGTTCATATTTACATCTTGATCTTTTGAACCACTTTAAAATATATTACACGAACATCCTATTTGTCTATCGCTACAGGTCAGGGCATGTATTAGTTGTATTGATACTGTTGAATCAGTTGCTCTGAGATCATTCTCTGCACCAAAACATAAGTTGTTTCCTCCCTTGATAGCAAAGAATCTACCCACTTAATCCAAGAATATAGAGTGCGTCTGTGAAGCATTTTGCCACTTTTGAAAGCATGGATCAGGTGATAGGCTCAGTGGTATCTACTTTTGGTATATTGTCCTCCTCAGTAGTATAGATGGCTCAAATATTGATTATTCTTCTCAAAGATTTCTTAAACAAGTTAGTCCTTATGCTTGCTTTTAGCTGTTGGTTATTCTTAAATGTTTATTTTAAAATAAATTGCCATTATGGATGCAGAAATAAACTTATGGCAATGGCTCCATCGTTTCTATATATTCTAAGAAGCTACAGTAGATAAGATTTTCTAAGCCACCTTCATCCTCTTAGCTTGTGAAGTACAGCCATCAGCACTGCCCATGGAAAACCTTAGGCTTATCTGCAAGATTAGAGTATTTAATAAAATCTCGCAAAGCTTCCTATTAATGTTCACCTTGATGATTGCCTACCCTTACTTTTAACTGAAAACACATTAGCTACCCTCTTCTATACGGTACTCGTGGGTCTAACTAGGGAGAATATTTTACAGACGTCACCCAGCAGTGCAGACGCTCATCCTCCCCGGCTCCCCATGAACACAGGAACGAGTAAAGCAGGAAAGGGCGGAAGTGGGTGGGAAGGGGTTTGACCACGCCTCTCGCAAGTGATGTAACTATTTCCTCCCGCCCCTCCTTAACAGATTTCGCGCTTGGTGTCTTCGCATCCCCTGTCAGTCGCGTCTTCGGCTGCGGAACAGCAAGATGGCGGCCCGGGTGAGTGAGCCGATGAATGACTGAAGGCGGGGGCAATGACGTGTCAGCAAGACACCTTCTGCCCTCCCTTTTCTTTCTCAAATTATTAAGGCCGTATTATTTTAAGAACTCTGTTTCCCTTCCCTCTGTTGAAATGGTATCTCGGTCTTTTTTACTTGTACCGGCAGGATCCGAATTGCATCAGAGCCTATTTGAAGGATTTATGGGGTTGTGGTAATCGCTCTCCTCCAGGTTAATAAAACTCAAGGGATTGATAGGGAGATCTTCGATTACACGATGATCCTCCCATCGTTTAAAGTGGGATTTGTTTAATAACCCTGGGCAAATTCCGTACATGAAAGTAACAACAACCGCAGAATAAATGCATTTACTATCTATCTACGCTTCCTCTGTGAGAACCGTCACAGTGAGTCATAAAGTAGCATCTCTTTACCAGCCTTAGCAAATTGCTCCCCCTCCCATTTCTTAGGTTCAAATCACTGCAGTGAACCTAGAAAGGGAGCAGAAGGGAGGGCGAACCTCATTTCCATGTTCCTGAAATACTTTAAAAAAAAAAACTTAACAAAAACTTCCTTTTCTCCTACGTTTGTTACTCTTAAATAACAGACAGGGAAGGCTTCACACTGTCCGTGCTGAAATGTTTCTCTGTGTAACAAATATTCATTCATTGGTGGCCTCCCAGTAATTAGCTCTTGTTGTGTTACTTCCTCCATTTGGAACAGGAGGATCTGGTGAGTGAAAAGGTGGGAGTGCCAAGCTGTTGATGCAGTTCACACTTTTACTGCAATGTATGTTTGGCTAGCAATAGAGCATTCTGTCTTCAGATTCTACACTGATGCTGTTAACTCAGAGAAATGCTGCTGCTTTATTTTCCAGGGGCTTATTCTGTACCCAACAGTTTGTTTCTTAGAACTAGGAGTACAACAAAAATGGGTTATATTGGAAAAAGTTCTTTCAGTAGATGGTTTTAAACATCACCAAACCTTATAGACTTTGGCTACAGTACTTCTATTTGGAAAAGGACAGTGATGATTTAGGATCCTAGCAGAATAATTTTCTCATTCTCTGCATATTATAATATATTCAGGTAGCTTCAGGAAGTATACTATAGCAATAAAATAAACATAATATACAAACCTATACAAAAATGTGAGTTTAGTTACAGTATGAAACATTTGGAAATTAGATCTCTAATGTTATTTAAAATTCAGTGTACATTTATGTATCCTAATAGTTAATAGTAAAAAATCTGTTTCTTGAGCTTTGTAAAAATCTTAGGGCATTTTCACATAAGAACATTGAACAAGTTCAGAATCAGTTCCAGCCTATACAATTACAAGATGTTGGCTGGTTTTGAGAAGTGACTCCTCAGTATCCTCCCACTTTTATTAATATACTGCCACTTCATTGGAGGTTTTTAACTGCAGTGAAGGAAATGATGGAAGACAACTTGGATGGTTTTTTTTTCTGCAGTGGTTTCCCATTATGGCAAAGTGCATGGGAGAATATCTTACATTTGTTTCATATTGCATTTTTGCCTAGATTGTTCAAAGAGTCAATTGGATGGAGTACTGTTTGACTTAGACATATGATCTATTCAAGATTTTGTGGCTTGAAAAAATGGTGACAGTCACATGGGAATTAGAAACCTACTGTGAAAATGCCAGTGGGAATATTTTATTGAATCCAGTAGGAACTGGCATTCAAACAAAAGGTACTAATACTTATTGTTTTTCCCATTCAAATTTAGTTAATTTTAATTTTCCAACAAAAATGTGACCATCCAATGAAACAAGAATCTCTTTAAGAAAATGAGACTTTACAGTTATTGATGAATAGAATTGTGATTATGGTTGATTTTGTGTTTGTGCATGTTTTCCCATTTTTGTTTTTGAAGGCTTTTAAAAATTAAATTTAATCCAAAAATTCAATATAAAATTAAGAATTTATCCTTTTATTATTTTATGTACT